TATGTGCGTTTGGATGATTATATATAAGTATATTCCAGGTTTCGTTAAGATAGCTTATGTACTTAGAGAGAAATTTAGATCAATGTGGAGCTAAACAGAAAACTTTAACATGGCCCAAGTAATTAACAACAAAGTCCAATGAGCAGTAAATTTTAGTTAAAATTCTGAATCTAAAATGTATGTTTGGATGGTTATATTTAGATAAAGTATAATCCAGGTTTGGTTATGACAGCACATATACTTTGTGAGAAAATAAACTCAACCCAAAGCTAAACGGAAAACTTTAACATGGCCCAATTAATTATCAAAGTCCAATTAACAGTAAATTTTAGTTCAAATTCTGAATCTAAAATGTGTGTTTGGATGGTAATATATATACCAGGTAAGTATATGTACTTGGAGATAATTTTACAGTTTAACAGAAATGTTGACGCCACAAACGCAGCCAGAAAAGTAACGCCTATGTTTCGCTTCGCAACTCCGTCACAGGCGAAACAAAAACACTGCTTGTTATACCCCCCTTGTCCCACTACCGATATAAAAGTAACAAACACTATATACCCTGTGCCACTTGGTGGTGGGGCATCAAAACGTAGATAATCAGTGACCATTGTGTGATGCATAAGAAAATGTTTTTGTGTATGTATGCTACCTTATACATATACCACATTAGCCTCCTTAGATATTCCTATCACAGCTTAATGTGTAGACCTACAAAACAGCAGAAAATTCTGTGTAACATGTTTCACTGTTCTGCCTTACATCCTTTCAGTTACAGGCAAAATATCAGTATCTATGCCTCAAAGTCATTAAAAAAAAAAACTGTTTAAATATTTGAGCTGTGACCTTGAAAGTTAAACAATAACAGTGAACAAGCTTAAAGCCCTTCGTCCGTGCATGCAACGTGCCAAATATTCACCATCCTATTCATTTTGTGTATTCAGAAGAAGTTATTAAAACTATTTAACCGATTGCAATTGTGATCTTTAATATTCAATGTCATTTGTTTGGAAAAACTTGGTAGCCCTTCATCCCAGCATTGTACTTGACATCTTGCTTAATCAGGGGAAGTTGTTCAAAGTTTTTACCCCTATGACCTTGCACAAACTTGGTAGCCCTTCATCCCAGCATACTACTGGCTAAATATCATTACCTTGGCCATTTTTGTTAATTAGAAGAATTGGTTTAGATTTTCAAATATATTTGACCCCTGTGACAGTGAATATGAGTAAAGGTTATTCTTTTTAACAAACTTTGTAACCCTTAATTCATACCAGCATATTTATTAGTGACCAAATATCACCCAGTGCGTTTAAAGTAAAAGGTTTACTCCACTTGTTCTAGTCTACTCAGCTGTAAATGAGTATGTTGTTGGGCAGTGCTAGAATTGTTGAATGCTATCTGTGAGCACCGAAATGGCAGAACTGGCTGTATACTCCCCAGAGAGTTAAGATATTGGCTGGTTGCAAAGACCCTATAACCACAGATAATTATTTGTGAACTGCTTTGAGACGACCTACGAACTAGGTTGTGATAAAGCGGTATACAAGAACCTCAAATTATTATTATTATAAAATGAGTGAAATTCTCCCTAGCAGAGTCGGTATGAATTAATTAAGTGGCTAGTCCTTTGTACTAGGGTAACATACTCCCCCTTCCAGGGAAGAACTCGTCCAAGTCTTCCAGGGTTTTATAGTAATTCCTGTGAAAGGTACGTATATTTGTCAATATTTCCCAGTTCCCTATACGGATGCCAATGCATATGTGGATGCCAATGCATATGTCGTTATACTGTGCATACAGACATATATACATGTACAAATGTATGCCAATACTTTCTTAACCCTTTCCCCTCTATGCAACTTTATTAGACTCTACCATTCATTGATCTGGATGAGTCCATTATGGTGTAGTCTACAGTGGTGAAAGGGTTAACCTATAAACTACATCCTTATCATGCTGTCAATAGGAGACGGTAAACCTATAGTTAAGTCCGTGTGAAGTGTAAACATTGGAACACAGGATAAGCTCACTACCTGATACAGGGACAGTTGATGAGTGTGTAGGAAATGACACATATCATGTCACATGTACACACATTGTCCTGTCTGTTACCTTCTCTATATAAACCAAGAATTTCATTTGAAATCAACAACCGCTTTATATTTTGAATCTATCCCAGAGAAGCCCAGGAAGTCGAAAGGCGATGGGGGTTAATTGGGTCTATATTATGCAGGTATGCTTAATAGGGAAATTCTTCCCAGGGGTGTAGAATCTTTGAATGTACTACCCGATGGTATAGAATTAGGGTCAGAACTGAGGCTTGGCTTATCATCAGCAATTTTATATCCATCTCCTGTACTTTTTTTCTAAACATTTTCTTCAGGATGGTAAGTATGGATTATGAAAAGTTCTTTTTACACAACCAACAAAATTTTCCATGTGACGTTTTTATGACCAGTACGATATGTACACTGTCACCTTCATCAGACAAATGACCAGTGAAGCGTATGCACACAAAGGTGTAAAATGTGTACGAGTTGTCTACAAAATCAATGTCGATTTCGGCTACGCTGTAAGCCTATGTGATTGACTGGGACAACTCCAAAGTTTTGGACAGAGAGAGCAATCTGTTCAAGTGGCAGATAAATGAAGCCAACTGGATATGCCACAGTGGGCCATGGTCAATTTTAAATCGAGACGAGGGGGCTCAAAGACTCTCTCACATCTATGACCAAGTATTAAACAAAGCGTAGCTGAATCGAGTCATTTCGGTACATATATAACAACTATTTTACATACGCTTACAGCGTAGCCGAAATCAACATCGATTTTGTGGACACCTCGTACACATTTTACACCTTTGTGTGCATACGCTTCACTGGTCATTTGTCTGATGAAAGTGACAGTGTACATATCGTACAAGTCATTGAAACATCACATGGAAAATTTTATTGGATGTGTATTAAGAACTTTTCATAATCCATCTCCTGTACAATTTACACTTTAGGGTACTTAACTAATCATTTCACTGGTTGTGCTTTGTGAACCTGTAGTTTTTATGACCCTTTATTGTTTTATCATATGAGAATATGGTCTCCAAAAAAATTAAAAAATCTCCACCCCAGGTGAGCCCCACCTTCATTTTTATCAGAATGTCACCCCTTGCAATTGGCCCATGACTGTTATATAAACAAGTATGTATAATGTTGCTCCTATTGTTTGCCTTGAAGCCATATCTTTGTTCGAAGGATGACAATGCATAAAATAACCTATATGAAGCCAAGTAACCATGAAAACACTGGCTTCATATTACCAGGATGCCTTTATGTAAGAGTTCTGAATTCAACATGTACACTAGATTACAAACAGGGGAACAAGTTTTTATTACTGATAAAGTCAGGTAATGGGTATGTGATGTCTCTCATAGACTGCTGAATATAACTGTACCTGAACCAAGGTCTTTATATTAAAAACAGTCACCAAATAAGTAATTAGTGGCCAAATTGTTATGTACCAGGTATGCAAACAGCTATCATCTGACCCCAGTGACATCAGTGACATTTGAACTGCATTGATGATATCTCATAATTACCTTTCATGCAACCATAGCCTTAAGTTTCCATGTCACAGTAAGGTAGCATACAGCCTTAAGTCTATATGTCACAGTAAGGAAGCATACAGCCTTAAGTCTCTATGTCATAGTAAGGTAGCATAGCATACAGCCTTAAGTCTATATGTCACAGTAAGGTAGCATACAGCCTCAAGTCTCTATATGTCACAGTAAGGTAGCATACAGCATTTAGTCTATATGTCACAGTAAGGTAGCATACAGCCTTAAGTCTCTATATGTCACAGTAAGGTAGCATACAGCCTTAAGTCTATATTTCACAGTAAGGTAGCATACAGCCTCAAGTCTCTATATGTCACAGTAAGGTAGCATACAGCATTTAGGCTATATGTCACAGTAAGGTAGCATACAGCCTTAAGTCCATATGTCACAGTAAGGTAGCATACAGCCTTAAGTCCATATGTCACAGTAAGGTAGCATACAGCCTTAAGTCTCTATATGTCGCAGTAAGGTAGCATACAGCATTTAGTCTATATGTCACAGTAAGTTAGCATACAGCCTTAAGTCTCTATATGTCACAGTAAGGTAGCATACAGCATTTAGTCTATATGTCACAGTAAGTTAGCATACAGCCTTAAGTCTCTATATGTCACAGTAAGGTAGCATACAGCATTTAGTCTATATGTCACAGTAAGGTAGCATACAGCCTTAAGTCTATATTTCACAGTAAGGTAGCATACAGCCGTAAGTCTATATGTCACAGTAAGGTAGCATACAGCCTTAAGTCTCTATATGTCACAGTAAGGTAGCATACAGCCTTAAGTCTATATATGTCACAGTAAGGAAGCATATAAATTGGGGGGAGGTTCCTAGTGCATACATGTACGTTTTACATGTATGATTAAAATATATAACCGAATTTGAGCCAATAGATATATTAACAGCAACTAATTCATAACTGCCAAACTGACACTTATAAAAACTCCTTCTTAATCAGAACAATACAAGACTGGAACCTACTGGAAGAATCCACAGGGACATGAGAATTTGTTACACCTATATTTATACCTAAATTAAGGTGTTCAGAGTTATTCTAAATCTTTTAGGGGTTTAGATCGACTTTCGGTAAAAATAATCATATATATGTGCATTGGGGTGTCATTTTTACCGAAAGTGGATCTAAACCCCTAAAACATGTAAAATTACTATTATCACCTTAATTTAGGTCCAAATATAGCTGTAACAAATGCTCATGTCCCTGTGGAAGAATGCTCTGTTCGTGCTCCATCTGTGAACATTTTTCTGACGTCACTTTCTAAAGACTAAACTACCTAAACGCTCTCTCTCATCCGTTGATGAAATACCATGCATCAGTATTGATGTTCAACAGATTCAGAATCCTGGGTACGGCCATGAGTATGTAACTTACCTCAATATCAGCAATATCCCTGCTAACGTCTGCAGCAGCCATTGTTATTAGATGGGGTCAGTAGCAAGAGTTTAGCAAGCGTCGATGTTCAGCAGTGAGCATACACATGGTTTCTTGTGGGGCCCGCGCGGGGGTCGGAACGTAAATATTGTTAACGGATAGCTACAATAAATTTGATTTAAACTCTCGTGAAATTGTCGGTTGTATAGAATCATTAAACTTTTACAAGCTTAAACAAACAGTGATATGATGGTGCGTGTGTATAAGTTTTGTGAGGGCGGCAATGTATGTGCGTGTGTTATCAACATGAACGCCAGGTCAAATATAAGATGGCCGAATGGGGCCGTACGAATCGATGTTACTTTGTCCGACATTTGTTTCGGCAAATGTGGCCTACTTTTTTGTCCGGCGATTTGGAAACCTTTTTTTCCCCCGTCAAAAATGACTATGTGAAAACAAGTGTTTTATGATAACCATTTACCCCGTGGCGCATGGCGATTTATCACCCCTTAGTCGTTTAATTCACAGGGACCTGAGAATTTGTTACAACTATTTTTAGATTTTGCTGAATACAATGTAAGCGGGTCATGTAAAATGACCTGCGCGTGCGAAATTATAGTAAAGTTTTGAGATCATATAAAGAGCGAGCGATAATATTTAGTTTGCAATTTTTGTTGCATATATCATATATAATTAGTATATATGTTTAGTTATCATGCTATACAGTTATAACTTTCTTGTGTACATCAGTGAAACTCACCTTGATTATCAGACTAGTGCTAGTGTAGATCACAATACTGTTACCATTGAAGTTTAATTCCCTTTTAATCGACGATTCATTATGTATGTGCATGCATGTGGCTAGGTATGTATG